TTAAACGCATAAAATAAAATACAAGTATTACAAAGGAAACCAATTACATTGAAATAGTAAATTTTTTTGTTTTCTTGTTTTTTAGGCAATTGGGGTTAAGTGACTTGCCCAGGATCACACAGCTAAAATAGTAAATTTTTAAAAAGCAAATTCACAAAGCTCAGGTTAAGAACCCCTGACCTAGTCTAACCCTCCATTTTATAGAAGAGCAACCTGCGGCCTAGAGAAGGCAAGTGATTTGCCCAATGTCATATAATGGTATGTAATCTGATGTAACACTCCTCTAACAAATCCTAACCATCTCAGAAAAGGAAATGGTACATGAAACTTTCTCTTCCTCTGTAGGGTGCAGAGTTGGAAACCTCCACCTAGTTCTGAGGTCAGATCATCTTGTGTGGCATCCTCACCCACTCTCTTCCATTTTTATCCAGGTGAAATCAAGTTACTAGGATCCACCCAAAGTTTCCTGATACACAGCACAAGATCTCCTATGTACCTTTACATTGATTGTCCATCATGTCTGGGATGCACTAAATCCTTACCTCCTGACCTTGGAACCATTAGCTTTCTTCAAGGCTCAAGTGCTACCTTTTACATAAAGTCTTACCTGGTCACCTTTAGGCACAAAACAAAACCCTATCTTCGATTTAATGTGTATATATTGTGTATATACTTACATATGTACCTGGTGGTAGGTGGCATCATAACATGCAGAGCACTGCATCTGGAGTCAGGAAGACCTGAGTTCAAATCCAACCTCAGATTATATGTACTAATTGTGTGACTCTGGGCAAGTCACCTAATTTGTTGTCTCAGTTTCCTTACTTGTGAAATGGGGACAAGGACAGCACCCACCTTCGAGGATTTTTGTAAGAATAAAGTGTTTGCATAACGTTTGTAAAGCAATTTGCAAACCTTAAAGCCTTTTTTATAAATGCTAGCTATTATTATTAGCTATTATTACGTAGTTAAATTGTTTCTCCTTGTATTTTTATCACCTAGCACAGGGCTTGGTCCATACTATGTGTTTAATAAATGCTTGTTGATTGATTCATCAAATTCAATTAAACAAGCACTGACTGATCACTTCCTTATATGGAAGGCATCTCCAGGCAGTGAGAGCATACAGTTATACATGGCATGGTCTGTGCCTTCAAAGAGCTTATATTCTAGTAGGGGAAATATGACAGGGACTCAAATAAATATAATACAAGATGGAATGTGCTTAGTGCTGAAAAAGAGGTATATGTAAAATACTCTGAAACTCCCAGGAGGGAGAGATCACTTCTAACTTGGACAATCAAGAAAGGTTTCATGGAAGAGGTGGACCTTGAAGAATGAATGGTCTTTGTAAAGTTTGTAAATCAGTCAATCAATTGGCATTTATTATAGGAAAATGCACAATGTTTGGGAAACAGCAAATGGCCCCACTTGACATAGGACTAATGAGGTGAGTGATTAATTATAGGATCATAGTTTTAGAGTTGGAAGGGACTTTAGAGGACACCTAGTCCAACTTCCTCATTTTACAAATGAAGAAATTGAAGCCCAGAGAAGTTAAGTGATTTGTTCCGTCACATAATCAGAAATGGCAGATCTGGGTTTTCAGATCAGATCCTGCAATTCCTAGTTCAACAGTCTTTCTATTGCATCTTATTTCCTCTTCAATTAAAGGTAAAACTGGAAAGATAGGTTGGGACCAGTACCTTAACTGGCTAATTGCCAACCCCCCCAGGTAAGACTATGAAATTATACCACCACCCCCATTCTAATGACATGTGTTTAAATTAGTAGATAAATGTTCTATATAATTTTTTTCTGTGCCACTCAGCTTTGTGCACCAGAGACAAGTAGGGCATTACTTGTTACACTCTAGTTGGGACTTAGAATGGAAGGCCTTGGATAAGGCTGAAGACTTAGGATTTTATTCTATAGGCAACATTTCTGAGCAAGGGGATGGTATGCTCAGAGCCAGCAGCAGGGGTGAAAGATAAGTTGGAAGAGAGGAGAGACAAAAGACGATGCTGTTATAGTAGTCCAGGATAGAAGTAATGAGGGCCTAAACTAGGGTAGCAGCAGTGCAAAAGGAAAAGAAGGAATGGATGCCAGAGACATCATCAAGGTAGAATTGATAGAACTTGCTGATTGATTGTAAAGAGCACAAATTTGGGTTATTAGAAGAGAAATTTCTAAAACTTAACCAATCAACAAACAATTATTTATCCCTGATTATGTGCCAAGTACTTGAATAGGATAAAGATAAAAGTAAAAAGTTCCTGTTCTCTAGGAGTTTATAATCTCATGGTGAAATCAACATGCACATATAAAGGGATATACAAGGCACATACAAAGAAGAGATACAAGGTTGGGCTGGGGGAAGCAATATTGCTACATGCCTTGGAATTGCAAGCATGGGGTTTTTCTCTGGTGGTGATTTATAGATTCAATCAATTAGTACTTCGTTGTCTGCATTCAAAAGTCCAAAAATGTTTTCTTACATTATTTTCTGTATGCATGTTATTAAAATGTTTACATTTCTCATGTTCTTGGAGACATATGATCCTTAAGTTATCTTTTCATGTCCTATTTCCGAAGTCAGCTGCTTTGATTCGTACTTTTTTTCAAAATAATTGTCTTTTGCTTCTCTTCTGCCAATCTTTTTCTATATCTGTATTTTTGCATTCAAGATCTTGTTTTCAGAGCTGCTACTACTTTCTAGATATTCCCACTGTGTATGTCATAAGTTGTGCATGTCTAAATTGCCTGGTCTATTATTCGTAAGATCACAGATCTAGAGCTGGAAGGGATGTCAGACCATCCAGTCCAACCCCCCCACCCCCACCCCCCCATTTTACAGAAAAGGAAACTGGGGCCAAGAGAGGTTAAATGAGTTTCATTAATGCACACGTTTATCAAGTTAGTAACAGAGGTAGAATTTGAACTCAGGTCTTCGTGCCTCCAAGTCAAGCACTCTCTCTAACTGTACAACCTAGCTAAGTCACATGATTGGTGATGGAAGGATCAGTAGAAAGTCATGTGAGTTAGGAGCAGGGAAAAGAAATGAGGAACCTGGAAAGTCTATGAAACCCTAGGCAGAAAAAGATGCAACAGAACCCAAGAATAGCTCTATGAACTTCCCCTAGATGCTGTTGAGGATGGGGAGGATGAGGAGAGGGGAGCATTGTTGAAATGGGAGAGGGGTGGTCCCATCCCTTTGCTTTGATGATGGTGGGGGCAGGATTGGTAGGTTGTTCCCCTTAGCCTCGGTTCTCCTTTAGCACCAGCTGTGAAAGCCTCCTCCTCATCTCCAGTTGAATGCTTCCCTGAGTCACAGGCCAGCTGTTAAATACTGCAGCAGCAGTGGGGTCTGGATGTAATCACCCTGTTTCATCTTACCCTGGTGGTGGCTCAGAGGGAAAAGGGGTTGGAGGTCTACTCAGCAGCCCTATCTTTCACATTCCCAACCAGATGACAGTATGCTCTAGGAAAGACAGAGCCCTGAATTCAGTTGAGGATGTCTGGCACATAGTAGATGCCATGTAAATGCTTATTCCCTTTCCAGCCACATGGACTTGTGAAGTTGCAGAAGGAACTCCCCCTCCACTCTCATCTAATTGAGAAACCATTTACTTTTAGGGCTGGCTCGAAGGGACTTCAGAGATCATCTGGTCTCTTCTATTATACAGAAAAGAGAAGTGGGGCACAGAGCAGTTAGGTGATTTGTCTTGGGTGAAACAGTTAGTGGCAGAACCAGGGCTAGAATGCAAGTTTCCTGATTCTCAGGCCAATCACTGTGCAGAAAAGATTTTGCACCAGATCATCTCATTCTCAGTCACACTCCATGTTCCTGCTCCCATCTCATTTCCTTTGCCCTATCTGTCTCCCTTGGAAGTCCTATAATAAGTTCCTCTGAAACTGGGGCTGGGACTAGGGCTGGTGCCAAGCACAGCAGTTGATTTTCTCCTATGGAATGACTTACCAGAAGTAGTTTCCCATGCCTAGATTGATCTCCCTTCTCACTCCCATTTCTTATAATGCCTGGTATAATAATAATAATAACAATAATAATAATATTTATCTCAATATCCTCACAATAAACCTGGGAGGTAGGTGCTTTTATGATCCCCACTTTACAGATGAGGAAACTGAGGTTAAATGACTTGCCCAAGGCCACTCAGCTAGTAAATGTCTGAGTCTGGATTTGAACTCAGGAATTCTTGACTCTAGGCCCAGTGTCTACCCATTGTATCCCAGAGCTGCCTGTTAGAATCAGCTCACGTGCCACCTTCTTTAGGAACCCTTTCTGCGTCCCCTCCCCACTGCCTCACCCCACTGCCCCCTGATGCCTTTTCATCCAAAGTTATCTGGAATCTGTTCAGTATGCATCTTGTTAATACTTCTATATGCTAATGTCTCTCCCATTAGAATGTAAGCTCTTTGAAAGCAGAGACTGTTTCTTTTGTTTTTGAATTCTCAGTGTTAGGGACATTAATGAATGTAAGCACTTAATGAATGCTTGTTTATTGATTGATTGTGGGGACAGACAGCATAGAAGCAAGTAACCTTGAGTGATGGAACTAAAGGGAGAGAGTTAAGTGGGTTTTTTTTTTCATTTTGGGGGGGAGGCAGTAAGCCCTGGTGACTTCACCCCAGAGTGAGTCAGCCTGGCATTTACTTACCGACTAACTGAATCACTTACCTTCTTTAAGCCTCAGTTTTTCTTTTCTGTGAAATGGATAGAGTGGTACTAGGCAAAAAGAAAATTCTGTCAGATGTACTGGAAAGTGAGAAAACCAAAATAGAGCACCTTCCACTCTCAGTCGCTATCTGATACCCTGTAACATATTCCTCTGAAACTGGGGCTGGGGCTGAACACAGCAGATGTTTTTTTTTCAGAGGAATGACTCATCAGAGGTAGTTTTTCTGACAATGACTGTCAGAAAAGTCCCAGCTGAGAACATTTTTCAGTTCTCAGTGATCCCTCCCAGCTGCCCCTTTTCTACCTATGGTGGAAGGACCATGCCTTGGCTCATCTTGACTGCTACCAGAACATAAAGATCCATGACATGGCTTATTAGCCAACCTCCCTCTGCCAGCTCCTTCTCTAAGTCTAATTCCATCAGGTAAGTTTTTACTTGGGATTATTACCGATTGGCACCATTGCCCAAAGTTGCTGTGTTGAGCCATGTACAGTGGGATATCCTAGATTAGTTTCTACTGCCTTCTACAATGCTTGTTTTCTAAAACTGTCCTTGACCTAGGGTGTGCCATGGCACATCAAGACAGTAGATTAGTAAGGACCATTGAACCAAGATGGGAGTGCATGGAGAACTCTAGATAGTGTGAGGAAGGGTGGGGTGGAGTGTATTTTACTTAGTATACTCCACTAGTTCTCTATTGTCTCTAGGATCAAATACAAGGTTTCCCAAAAGTCTTTGGGTAGCTTTAACTGACTTTTGGGACACCTTGCATAAACTCTTGTTCAACTTTTAAAGTCTTCCATTACCTAGGTGCAACCTATCTAATGATAGTGAGATAGAGATGGATGGACAGATGAATGGATGGATGGATGGAAAGAAAGAAAGAGAGAAAGAAAGGAGGAAGGAAAGAAGGATGGAAGAGAAAGAAACAAAGAAAGAAAGAAAACATTTATTAAGTGATTACTATGTGTCAAGCACTGGGAATACAAATACAAACAAAAAGAAAGATTGTTCCTGCCCTCAAGGAACTTACATTCTAATCATAAAAGAATAAATAAGGGGGCAGCTAGGTGGCTCAGTGGATAGAACAACGGCCCTGAAGTCAGGAGGACCTGAGTTCAAATACAGCCTCAGGCCAAACACTTGACATATACTAGCTGTATGACCTTGGGCAAGTCACTTAACCCCAATTGCCTCACCAAAAAAAAAAAAAAAAGAATAAGTAAGCAAACATATTTTTTGTTAGATTTCCATCTTCTGCTGCATCCTTAGCTCCCTAATCTTCACCCTTCAGAGGGAAGAAAAGTAGTGAATGGTGACTTTCCATCTGATCATCTAACCATATACTATCCATCTCATGCTCCACTTGCCTCAAGTTGAATCATCAACCTCTTATGGGGAGTGTAGTGGTACCTTGTACTTAATGATGAGCATTCTTATATGGGTATACCATACCACAGTGATTCTGAACCAAACCCCATTCCCCACCCTTACCTCTCAATTTTTAATTCCCATTCCTCTTAACCCTCCCACCCCAAAGTTCCAAGTAACACCACCCATCCCTTCTACTGTGCCCTCTGGAATGCCTGCTCCATAGGCAACAAACATCCCTTCATTCTAAATCTTTTCCTATCCTAGTCCTATCTCCTAGCTATAAAAGATTTCTCACCCTACCCATGACACAGCCTCTCTGGTCATCCTTTCCAGTACCAGCTGCACCTACCCTCATTCTCCTTGCTCATTGGTCAATATAGGGAGGTTGGAATACTCCTTGTTCCCTTGCCACTTCCAGGTTCTCTCCTTACTTCCATCATTCAGTAACCTCTCTTTTGACATCCACACTATTTGTATTTACCACCCAATCAAAATCCTAATAGCTATTGTCTACAGGCCTCTAGACCTTCCTTTCTCAATGAGTTTTTATCTGGATCACAACTTTTCTCCCCTTCCCAACTCCTGCCCTCATACTTAGGGAATGCAATATACATATTGACTTTCCCTCAAATACCTTAACCACTCAGTTCTTCATCTACTCCTCAATCACCTCATCTTAGTTACACATAGATAGTCATACCATTGAACTCATCATCACCCACAAATGCACCACCTCCATGTTAAAGAATTCCAAAATTCTTTTATCTGACCATAATCTATTGACTTTTTACCTCTCCCTCTGCCTTTCTTTACCAGACCCTACTCTACATCCATACTCTGACCTCCAGTCCCTTGATTCCTCAATTCTGTCTCAACCCATCTCCTCTGTACTTACCACTCTCTCCTCTTTTCCCCATGTTGACCTTTTGGTGAACTAGGTAAACACTACACTGTCCTCTCCTCTTGAGTCCATAACCCCCTTATCATATTGCCAATTTTGCCCTACCAATCCTCAGCCTTGAATCACTCCCACTATCTATGCCTTTGTTCCTATACACATGCTACTGAATGAAGGTGGAGAAAATAATGCAATAATTCTGACAGGGTCCACTACAAATGTATGTTACACAACCTCAACTGGGCTCTCACTGCTGCTAGACAATCCTATTATGCTTTCTTTATCACTGTCCCACTCTTTACAATAACTTTTTCAAACCTTTTTCATCCCTCTTCAAATCCTCTATAGCTCTCCCTCCCCAACCATCTCAGCTGAGAACTTTGCCTCAAATTTTGTATGAAAAATTGAGGTCATTTGCCATGAACTCCCTAATTTTCTTTTCTTCCCTATTCACATTACCCATATATCTTCTGCCGCTATCCCTTCTTTCAGTTCTTTCCCACATGAAGAAGTGGTTTCAGTCTTTACCAAGGTTAACCCATCTACTTACACATGATCCCATTCTATCCTATCTCCTCCAACAGAATGTCCTTTATATTATCTCTACCCATCACTTATCTTCAACTCCTCCTTGTCTACTGGATCCTTCTATACTGCCTACAAACATGTCCATCTCTCCCTCATCCTCAAAAAACCTTCACTTGATGCTTCAATCCCCTCTAACTTTTGTCCTGTATTTCTTCTGTCCTTGTGGCTAAACTTCTTGAGAAGGAATACTCAATAGGAGCCTCCATTTTCTCTCCTCTCACTCTTTTCTTAACCCCTTACAATCTGGCTTCTGACTTCATCATTCCACCTAAATTACTCTCTCTAAAGTTACCAGTGATCTCTTAATTGCCAAATCCAATGACCCTTTCTCAATCCTTATTCTCCTTGACCTCTCTGAAGCCTTTGACATTGTTGATCACCCTTTTCTCCTTGATATTTTTTCTCCCTAGGTTTTTGGGACACTACTCTTTCCTACTTCTCCTCCTACCTATTGGACCACTCTCCAATCTCCCTTGCCAGATCCTCATTCTGGTCATGCTCTCTAACTCTAGGTGTCTCCAAAGGTTCTGTCCAGTGCACTTTCTCTTCTCCCTCTATATTACTTAACTTGATTGATCTCATGCTCATGGATTTAATTACTATCTCTATGCTGATGATTCTCAGATCTCCATATCTTGCTCTAACCTTTCTGCTGACCTCCAATCTTTCATTCTCAACTGTCTTTCAGACATCTTGAACTAGATGTCTAGCAGACATCTTAAATTCAATATATCTTAAATAGAATTCACTATCTTTCCTCCTAAGCCCTGCACCTTCTATCTTCCTCTTACTGTAGAAGGCAACACCATCCTCCTAGTTCCTCAGGCTTGCAACCTAGGTGTCATCCTTGATTCCTCATTATTGCTCACCCTCCATTATCCAATCCATTGCCAAAGCCTGTAGATTTCACCCCTGCAACATCTCTTGACTATGCTCCCTTCTCTTCTCTGACACTGTTACCACTCTGATGCAGGTCCACATCACCTCACACCTGGACTATGTACTGCTGGTGGGTCTCCCTGCCTCAACCCATCCTCCATTCAGCCACCACAGTGATTTTCTTAAAGTGCAAGTCTAACCATGTCACCCCCTATTCAATAAACTTCAGCTGCTCCCTGTCACCTCCAAGATCAAATATAAAACCCTTTGTTTGGTGCTTAAAGCCCTTCATAACCTAGTCCCCTCCTGCCTTTCCAATCTTATTTATACCTTACTCCCTGCCATGTATTTTTCAAACCAGTGACACTGGCCTTCTGGCTGTTCCACGAACAAGATACTCCAGACCACATGTTGAGGACCCTTCTCTCTCCCAACCTTCATGTCAATAACCCTCTTCTTCCCTGCTCCAATCCTCCCTTCCCTTCTTCTACAGGAGGGAGCCCATAATCCCAATGTCACTCAGGTAATTTCCTCATTTCCCAATGGTGGTGGTCCAGGCCTCTCCAGCTTTCCTGTCCTACAGAGTGGACATGGATGTTTATACCAATTAGATGAGCTTGCAGTCACCAACTATAGTCCTTCTAATAAGACAGAAGACCACTGAACCTTCCCAACTTCCCAACTTCTATGTCCTAAGGTCCTCCAAGCTTTTCTATCTAGAGGGTGTCATAATATCCTCTAAGCCTCTGGGCAGTGCCATTTAACTTTCACTCTAGGGACCCTCAAGTCTTGTCATTCATCTAGGCCTTCCCATCTACCCTGAAGCTGAACTTTGTTTTCTGTATTGTCTCCTTGACTTAGAGTGAGGGCTCACTGAGAGCAGAACTGTCTTGTTTTTTTCCATTTGTAACTCCAGTGCTTAGCACAGTAGTTGGCATTTAGTAAGCATTTAATGCATTTTTTTTCATTCATTCATCTGAATGGCTGTCATGTGGAAGAGAGAGCAGATTAGCTTCGCTTGTCCTCAATGGGTAAAACCAGGAGTGATGGGGAGAAAAAAGACAGACCTAGGTTTGATTTAAGGAAAAACTTCCTACCAATTCAAGCTATCAAATGGTGGACTGGGCTTCCTCAGGAAGTAGTGGGAAGACCTCTAATGAGATGTCTTCAAGCAAAGGATGGATGACTTTTTGTCAGGCATGTTTTGGAGGGCTTCCTTTTCAGGCACAATGGAACTAGGTGGCTTCATTGCGCTGGTAGGATTTAGAGCTGAATGGGACTTCAGAGATTATCTAATCCAATCCCCACAGCATTTTCTAGGTCACGGCCTTCCCAGAAAGGGAAATGCCTTGCCCAGAGCTCATGGTATATGAAGACTTTGGAGATTATCTGGTTCAATCTCTTATTACAAAAGAGAAAGCAACAGCCCTGTGGTTAAAGGACAGTGAGCAACAGCACTAGGATTAGAGCCCAGGACCTCTTACCACTTATCCAATCCAGTTCTCTTTCCACTACAAAAACTGAATTGAGTTGAATTACGTAAATGAAGTGAAGAAGGTGAACGGGGAGGAGAGTTTTCTCAGTTAAGGAGAAAAAAACAGTGGACTTCCTGAAAAGGTGAAGCTCCCATTTCTTCAGGATTGCCTACTTTTCCTACTTAGTAATTTCCAGATTCTGGGAATGC